AGTTTCCAATGCTACCATTTTATTTTTTTTGGGTAGAAAGTTCCGTGAAAACGGTGGCCGAATTCCACGGGTGAACACTGAGCTGAATGGCTATTCGTCAAGAGCAACATATCAATGATCTTTCAAGAAACATCAGAGGCATGGAGCACTTTACAGCGTATGGTCCGAGCCCGAGAGGAGACCAATGTGCTACAAAATTTCTGTAATACAAAGTACAATAAGTCAGTGACGCACAGATTTTGATGATCTAACGGTCATGATTTCCGCTTGTCATGCGATATCGCGGGAGACCGGGGTTCGACTCCCCGACAGAGGGTTGCATAGCTTTTTGCCGGCGACTGTCACATGATACATTTATCACTCTATTCATGCCCAAACATGTTTAAAACTGCGATGAATCATGCCCACCTAGATACCGCGAACTAGACCTGATGATGCGCCGAAAAGCCACCGGAGCTATCACTTCCACGACGGCTTCTGTTTGAAGTCATCGCGGCTCGTACCGGTCTCGGGAATTTCGGCGCATACCACAGACATTTTCTCAGGGATGAGGGTTTGACAGTGTTCCACGGGGTGCGTTGTATAGCCTAGTGAAGATCTAGGTGGTGAATGAAGATAATAAATGGGCCAAAGGGATTTTTTTGCATCAGAGTTTAATTGCGTATGCAGCTATCTAGCTACGACACAATATCGGAGGAAAGTACAGAAAAGATGACTCGATTTACAAGAAGAGCTCTCATGCCTCGGATTTTATCTGCAAGTACCACTGCGAAGTTATGGTGGCTCTTTCTTCACCCCAAGTCAACGCTCATCCATTATAACGCCTGCTAAGCCTAAGTATTCCTGTAGCCTACGCTGGCCAGCGCGGGCAACGACACCAAGAGAATCTTCGGGAAGGATCTCGAGATACGCGGAGCTTTGAAGATTCTCAATGAACCTTCTGGAAGCATACTGAAGGCTCATGAGAGTGACAGACATATCGAGAATCTTCTAGGGAAACTTCGAAGATTTCATATTATCCAAGTCATAGGGGGAACCTTATAGCAGAGGAGTATCTCAGAGTGTATGAATAGTTGTAGTCTAGCTACATGATTCTCTCTCTAGACAATTTTAATTAATAAACTGTACTTACCAGATCACCCAAGCATTTTGTACTGAAACCTTGACATTCGTGAATACCCACCCAGGGAAACGTCTCCAAAACCCCGGGTTATCCAGACACACCTCCATCATTTATTAACTTTTCTCCGCGCGAAATGTAATCTGAGATGTCTCCTTCCCAAGTGGAGTAGGTGCCCAGGCTACTCAAACTATACCCGAGAACACCACCAAAAGGAGAGCCTTACTACATCCCATCGTTTGCTTGTTTTTATAGTGTCAGCTGCACTCTCGCAAGCGAAGTCTTGGCGCGCACAAAGCTCAATTCGTAAAACTCTTGCCAAAATTCATATTCACACGCCCGTCGAGTTTGTATCCTTCTCTTGCATCATCTTGTGAACTTGTCCTGAACACTCTCACGTCCATCCCGAAGAGCTATCTCCTAGATTTGTGCGCCACGCTTTGCTTCCTCCGTCGGGTATAAATATCGGCGTGGGCGTGTATTTGGTGGTTAAGGCCAGAGAAAGTCGACGAAAGGTATGTTCATTGGGATGAGGATGCAGTAGGTCGTACTTGTAGACTGGATAAGACTAAGGTTGAAGTCAAACTCGTTGGGATGGAAAGAAACGACATGGTGGAGTAATTTGAAATTTTGCCTCGTGGGCCGACTTCTCTGATATTGCGAAATTTGACTGAACTTGGCTCTGGGAGCTTATTTCACTCCCCGGCCCGTAGAGGATACCGCATACAAGTGTTCAGTATTGCCCTCCTTCAAGTGGATACACTTGTACTTGTAGCGCACATTTCCCACAGTTTTAGCTGTAATCCGAACGTGACATTCTTATAGCTAACTTCTACTTTCGTTCCCTTCATATTGCGCCCATTTCTTTGCGCGATATTTTTAACTATGCTCGACAACTCCACAGCCGTGAGAGTTCTAAGAACCGGCCATACGAAAGCTTCCCATGCTGCAGTGGAAGTATCTACAAGACTGGAGCCACAGGCGAGATCAGTTGAGATCCAATGGATACCAGCTCACGCTAGGATCGTTGACAATGAAGATGTAGATAGACTGGCTAAGGAAGCCCTCATGAATCTTGTCAAACCTTTTGAGCTGGTTCGGAAGCTGTAATGATTGAGACTAGAGGTATCTGGAAGAATAGCTCGCACAGGAGCTTTCAATTGAAGTAAATAGAAAGATGTAATTGTCTTCCTTCCTCTTCCTCTCAGGTTATATACCTACATATATCATCAACCTGACACATGATGATAGTATCTAGAAAGAGCTTCCTTACATCACAAGTCACTATCTAAACACGCTGTAGCCAAGATGTAATCCAAAACAGACTCACTACCAGTTTACCACGTCTGTTACACCGACGCCAAGTATTTTCTAGCTGAAAGTTACCGAAAACGCCAAGGTTTTCCTGAGGCCATCACAAATTATGTCAGGTACCGGCTTGGCATATTATTCTGACAATAAATTCACGATCATGTTAGAAAAATGGAATTTACTTGAATCACGAAACATTAATTCAGGAATAAAAATTCCACCGGGCTCTGATCCTGGTCTGACAAATCTATCGGATGAAACGGACACATCTCCCTCAGAAATGAGGAGCAGACCTTTGTCGACATTAAACTTGTCCGTCGACTTTGTATATTGGTCTGTAAACACAGACACGGAAATGAATTCATGAGATTGCTTAATGAGAGGCTTGGATTGATTCCGATATAATTTGGTAGAAGACTTGTCCCAACTATCAGAGGGCTACAACGTCTTTATCTATCTACAGGTAAACTCCCCATATTCCAGCCATGCTAGGCATACAGGACGTAGCATGTAAAACCTGATTCGTATCATCAGTTTGGGGTTGAGGTTTACCATGCATATGCTACTTGGGTCGCATGTCTGAATACTATGCAAAACGCTCAAGTATCAATCAAACAACCCACACCAAAACCGAAACTACTCACAACCCTGATGATGACCCCATGAATAATTGGGACAGTAGCCTACAACATAGCACAATTAGGCTAGACATCGTTGACCAGGACCTAATCCGAACAAACCTAAACATACTTTCGCAGCCATCACTCGGCTTGTCAAGCAAAGATGTGAAGAGGCAGTGGAAACCTGGTGGCTAGATCACAGACCGAGAAGAATTGGATCTCTAGATGAAACGAAACATCCACCGAAGCTAGCACTTCCTAGGTGAGCGAATCACCGCCTTGTCGCAGCAAGGACTGGACGTGGCGATTTCAGAAAATACCATTATAGATTTGGTCACAAATTTGAAAACTGCAAATACGTGTGCGGAAGAGAAAAAAGTTCTTGGCATTTTGCCAAATACTGGATTGCTTCACAGCAATGGAGAAACTCGAAGCATTAGCCAACACTGAGAGGACGGGAGATGCTGGCAGAAAAGGTTTGGGAAAGATTTCTCCAGGTCTTCACAGTAAATAAGTGTTACGATAGGGAGATACCATACAGGGAGGATTAAGTCCTGCCGAAATATAATATTTTCTGGACAAAGAGTTGTGAGAAAGGAGGTAAAGCGCAGGGCGCATATTTCAGAATTAATTCATTATTTATGTTTTGCCTGTAGATTTGATAAGCAAACTATATATTTAGGTTTTAGTATGTCCCGAGGGAGCAAAGGCGCGTATCACGCCAATTGGGTGTAGGGCGTAAGCCTGATACGAAATGAATTCAAATCAAATCAAATCACGCAGGTACAACTAAATGAAAATTTTATGTTCATCATTATATTTTACTCTATGTGTAGAAAATTGATGCCCATTTCAAGGGCACATAATTGCTAGCCCAAGTTTCCCACCTAGGACCATGCAGTACTATTATCATCTGCTGCGCAGTTTCTCGAATCCGTTGCGGAGAGGACTAGTTAGTAACAACCTTTAATTTCGACGCGCTTCAAATATTTTATTCTCGATTCTTCCAGCTAAAACATGAATAAAATTTTAGTGAAAATCGAGTCAAAAGAATGGCTCTTTCATTTAGTCAAAATCATATCTTACATCTAACATCCTCGACAGTTTTGTCCAATGCCTTGATCATTCTGCTATACAAAGGTCCACAGTCTACAGGCGTTTTAATATATCGGCCGTCATCATGAGAAAGGGTATGTCGCAATTTCTCGGCTAGTTCCTTGAGCCCTTTGAAACTGGCCGTGAATCTGTCGAGAATTTCTATGTCGAAATCTTGGATATCATCTCTTTTAAATTTGAAGTTGCTTTTCACGTCGTTCGTGCACCAATCCACATTCTATGCATCCTACAATGAACACATAGAAAAATGACTCAAGATCATGGCGACAAGTACGTCCGATGGTCTTTTCTTGTTTGCTAGCAAACTTCAATCTCTCTAGCGCCATGAACTTCATAGTGCCCGTCAGAGACCAATCTTCTTCCAGAGCCAAATTTCCTTTCATCTTGACCGAATGATCTAGGTCAATCAACATCCCGTGTAAGTCATCCTCTGGAGATGGGTTCAAAAGAATTATATTTCCTTCAGAAACGTCTCCATGAAGGATCTCTTTAGCAACAAGGCCCTCATGTCCCTTGATGGCATCTCTAATTCCGGCGACGAAATCCAGGATAGACCCACGGGAGTAAATCGATCGGCCGCGTGGTGTCATCGCTATCCTGATTAGTCGGCGATTTCTCTTCAAGGATTGCATTGGTGCTCCCTTTGACTTAATGCCCCTTGAGATAAACTTGTTGGCAGCTTTTAAATCTCAAGATATGGCTCGTAAAACGTTCAAGTCTTCCAAGTGACTTTTGGTCTCATATATAACCTCAGACGCAAGACAATTTACAACACCTCGCACAGACTTGGCGATACTCAGGAAGTCAACTTCGATATTTCCCTCTGAACTGGTTCACGAGTACTTGATCACTTTTAATTCGTCTTTTGTCTCATAGCAGGTCTTGCCTCGAGTGATCAGTCTCATTGGTTGTACAATAGGGTTAGACTTGATCTCAAATGATTGGCCTGGATCTTTTCCAATTTTGGGAAACTGGACAAATTTATCTTCTCCATGATGGAGAATAGACATATCGCAGCCAAGTTCTTCATCGCTCATCAGTAGGTACGAGCTTATTGCTCGAACAAACAACTTCTTGTTACGAACAATATTTTTTGGGCCTGAGTTGTAAGCACCTGAGCGATCAAAAAGCTCGAGCTCAAAATCTTCTTCAAACAAGCAGAAACCGTGTAAGAACCGTCTCAATGGCTGAGCGCAAAAGACCTCTCGAACTGACCTTGATAATTGTACAAATTTTATTTTCCTTAGGTTTTCACCAGGTGATATGGCAAGCTCACCCAGTGCCTTTACTTTTCCCCAATCAGCAGGACCCTCCTTAGAGAAGTCGATGCTTTTGACAGGGAAATCAAATTGGGTCTTGCCGATTGATTGTGGTGCGCGTCTTGTGGATTTTGTCCGACAATACTGTCCTTTCAGCTGGAAGTACGGCTCTTCGATGACGATAGGATAATCCTTCGATGGTTCTGGTAAAGGGCCTTTAAGCTGATCCAAAAATGTTTCACTGAAGAAATTGAGCCAGTCCCATACCTCGGTCTCTTCCATGTGTACTTTCGGAATCTTCTCTTTCTTGGATATGTGCAGATTTTTCATATCACGAATATAATCTGGCTCCTTCGACTTCTTTAGCTCCTTTGCTTGTTTCTTCTTCTTAGCCTTCTCGTACTTTTGGTAGCTTTCCCAAATGCGAGAAGTCTGTTCACACCAACCCTTATTTTCGAAAAAAACTTTCCAGAAGTTTGTGATTTTAGAAAATACGTTAGTGTCAAGGTCAGCTTTCATAACATTTTCCAATCCTTTAGCTGTCCTATCAAAACCCGGTGTTACTGAATTATTTTTTGTAAACGCCGTCTGACTCTCTGACGGGACCAATGAATTTCTACCTTTCGCTCGCTGTTCAAGTACACTGATGCATAATTTTAAGATTTTTTCTCGTTCTCATTGTCGACGATAGCGGAACCAAGATCTTCGAAATATATGACATCAATTCCTTGTTCATAGATTAGATCCGATATTTGACGGAAATAAACGGAAAGATGTGAGAGGTTGTTGTTGTTGTTTATTCCGCGACGTACATAATTGCTTAGATCGTTATAAAGTTCATAGAGAGCTATATAGATAGCAAGACTCTTTGTAGATAGTCATGGAATATTTACCGAGATAATAGGCTTTTGAATAGAAACTATTTAGGAAAGTCTTGAGAATATCCGCAATAGGGTTCTTGGAATGATAAGCAAGATCATCGAGCTGAGACATGTTGTATTGAAAGGTTGTGAGTTGTTTGGTGTGGAAGACTTGGACGATGAAATGTATCTCGAAGGAGATATGTGGGGTTCAATCGCGAGTGCAGCTAACACTATAAACACAAGCCGACAATGGAAGGTGCCGTGGTCCGCCTCCTGGTGTTGTTCTCCGGTATAGTTTGAGTAGCCTGGGCACCTACTCCACTTGGGAAAGAGACACCTCAGATCACATACCGCGCGGAGAAAAGTTGAAAGATGATGGAGGCATGTCTGGATAACTCAGGGTTTTTGAGACGTTTCCCTGGGTGGGTATTCACGGATGAGGGTTGACTTGGGGAGAAGAAAAAGCCGCCATAAGTTCGTAGTGGTACTTGCAAATGAAATCTGAGGCATGAGTGTTCCTATTGTAAATTGAGTCGTCTTTTCTGTACTTTTCTTTGATATTATGTCATAGCTAGATAGCTGAATACGCAATCAAAATCTGATGCAAAAGAAATGGGGTTCCACCGCGTCTTTTCAGGTTTTGATGTCACATGATGATTATGTCATTTGTGTTGTGCTGGCTCGGTTGAGTTACTAGGAGACAGGGGAACGGAGGATGGGCTGCTGGATTAGGAAAGGGTGAAAAATATAGGCTGGTGCACAGACGCTGTTCCTGTACTCTACAGTCTCTCAAGGGTATCAAAGGTACAATTATCAAAGTGATTAGTGTTAGATCCCCGTTCAAATTGCTATAATTGGTAAAGTCTTCATGCAGGCCCATGTCTAGCTCATCGACTAGTTTTGCAAGCAGGGGTACTATCCAGCGAAATTCCGTGAAAGTAAATATTAATGGGGATGGTTTTGAACTCAATGGGAAAAGTTCACTAGTCCTCATTTGAAATTAAAAATTAAAAAAGTCAACTGATATTCTCTAAAAATACACATCTATTCCAAAAAATATTGCTCTGTATTACAAAAGTCTAAATCGAAGTCCTCAGTATAGCTCGCAACTAAAATGAAAAAGTACTCCATGTTTTGTATAATTCTACTCCATCCCAATACTTTATATACCCTCCATTTTCCTGTATCACCGCTATACATCTTTCGTCCATGCTAACCTCATTTATCGGAGGCTTCATCCGAGAAATGTATCTTCTGTACCCTCTTTATTCTAGGGCATTAGAAATTAAATGCTAACTGCATCCTCAGTGGCTAAAGAGTCCCATAGCTAGTTCCAAATAGCACATCTGTCGATCTTCAGGAGATTCCCGGACGAAAGCTTCAAGCTCATCAACTTGTTCCACGCTTAATTTAGGTGGAAATCTTTTACGAGGCTTAGGATTCTCAGTCTCTCGAGCACACGCAAATTGCACTTGCCTTCTCGTAAAGACAAGTTCGTCGGATATATGTTGTAATGTCAAGCAAAATTATCTTAATGTTCTTCTTTCAATACATTGATCGCGAGTTAGATGCCTGAAAACTTTAGTTTATGAAGCAGACTTTTCGAGAGACATTGTTTGCCGGAATAGAGGATGAATTGATAGTGGTGTTGATGATGAAGGGTTGTGCAGTCAAAAATGTTGTTGAAAATGTGTCTTTCTAACCGACTGTTAGAACAAGACGATTGGACCATGCTTCATGGCGAGCGGGGTAAGGAGGAGAGACAGACTAACCTATTACGAGCTAGCCCAACTGCGCCTACAGGGCTAATCCCTTAAATATCCCAGTTTCGAGGCTAACATTTTATATCCCAGAGGAACTGTACCATCTCTTCACATGCCGAGTATAGTGAAGAGTGAGTGTTTATCGTCCTAAAAAGTATACAACTATGTAAGGACATGTAGGTCCTTTCTGCCAACAGGCCGGGAGTATCTATGCCTCGGGTAGTGTACTCCCTCCTTTGCCTCCCTCACGACTTCTTTCCAGCAGTAATACCCCCACAGGTCTTCATTCGAGTACACACTAAGAGGAGCCGTTATCCCGTCATTATCTCCCCTCTGCAGCCAACGAAACGATGGCCATTTGCGGGTGTGTAGCTGCAGGGAAAAGTCTCAAAAACCACTGGGTGTGGGGCTCTCCTACGACGAAGAGGCCGGCCAGCCGGGCGCAGCAGACCTGTGTATACCTAAGAGCGTCTCTCAACCTTCCTAGCCTCCTCCTTACTCCTCCCCTGATTCATGCCGCAGGACAAACCGAAGGTCGTGGAAGGATGTCAGAAAAGTCTTGGTCGAGAGTGAATGTCGTGAAGAAGCCTAGCCCAGCATCCAAAAGTCGTTACGGACGTGGGGTTGTCGAGTAACTCATGTATTTCAGATGCCCTCCTGGCTAGTAGATTCGGAAGTTATGATTAGTAGGGACGATAATGTAGACGAGTCGAAATCTGCTTTTCTTGAGGGCGGAAGAGTCTTTTACTTTGTTTTCGTGGGCTTTTTGCTCGCCCGCCGGTGGGTAGCACATGTTGTGATATAACGAGGGCTTCTCTGACTACCGTTGTAGCGTTGGGTAACGCAGTATGTGTCCTCATTCCCAGCATCATTATTGTCGTCTTATGTGTTATCGGAAGCGTATCTTTGATGGAGGTGGAGATAACTCAGCTTAAAGTTGATAAGGTGTTACTCAATCTCGGCTCTACAGACTCTACAGTGAGAGCTGGAGGTTCGTAGGGGACACCACTGACAGGTGCTGAGAATAGTCCCCCCCGAGTCTAGTGAATTAATCTATCCAAAATAATATCATACCTCACATCATCCATTAGATCGCCGGCAAAGACGAATTCTTCACCTTCCAGTGGTGCCGGTGTAATCGCTCAGTATGCTCTGCATATCTGGGATAGCCAAGAAGAATCGCATCCTTCGCAACGGCAACTTGCTGAGTGTGGCTCAGTCGATTTCGATTGACACATGGGGTATGTTCCATTCCCGGCACGATAGATCGAAAGTTTAAGTTTGGGTCTCTTCTGTTCAGTCTTCTAACAACTTCCCGATTGAATTTGACTGGGAGGACTTTACGACTCACCAACAACCCTCCAAAATCAAAGATAAAATTCCTTTCGCTTTTAACCTTACTAACATTGTGTGCAGGACTGGGCAATCGCTCGGCCTCATTTTAGACAAGCACCTCGACCGCGACATCAACATTCTCAACCTTTCGACACATTCCAAGGACGGCGCGAACGAATAAGCCTCACTTAGACAACGAACAATGTACGACAAAAGCTGGGGCACCGATGCCTCGGTTTTGAGCTCTCGATTTCGGAATTTCAGCCCTCTCAAATGGGGGTTGAGCGCAATGCAGGGGAGAATTTGGGAAGATCGATATGTGATTTTCAACAGGCTGTTGGCACAGTTGGTCGGGTGCTGGATGTGTTTTCTACAAGTGGTGGGTTGGATTCCTACACGGCCTGTTTGAGGGGGGACTACGGCTGCTCGTCGTGAAAGAGTACAGGAGGAATTAATGAGGTTTTCCCACGAAGGTTTTCCCTCGATACATGGTCTTAGGATCATGGTGAATGCGTTCTTACCTATTCGACCCGATGTAACTAGCGTGAGGCACGTATTTGGAAAAGTCAGGCACCGGATGGGCTTTGCTGAAGAATGGAGGAACTTGTATTCTAGATGTCCTCCATGCGTGTCGTGTCCATTGGATGGAGGGTGTAAGTCTGGCACGATAAATATAATCATCATCATCCATTAGATGATATTATCAATCGTCGGGATGCGCATCTAGCATCACCTTCCTATTAATATTAATTATAATCCATCTAAGTAGGGCCCAAAGCAGTATTGCAGTTCAGGATAGAAGTGAGCACATTGGTCTTAATTCTCATCTATATCGAAGGAAAGTCCCCTGAGTGAATAATCCAAAATTTCAATGAGAATATTTGTCTAAAAATGTCAAACATACGGTCTTGACGTGTCCTCAGTGGGTGATGGGAAGCGGAGAGGTGCTTCGAAAGGCAAAAGATAGGTCATTTGCTATCACGTAGAGTCATGATTCATTCATGAGTTAATTTTGTTCAGACGATTATGACTATATCACAATGTCATGTATAGACACTCTTCCTCGTTTGTACTCGTTGTATCAACCATGACTGGGTCTCAGAAAAAGGAGAAAAATCATTGACTAGTTATTAGCAACCTAGTGAAGATCCTAATCACACAGCTGAGACTAGGAGAATTTTACTGAGTAGATAATTATTATGATGAATCTAGTTCTGGAGGAACATAATCTGGTTGCTTGGCTCGAGGTATATGAACTGGAGCATATCATGTAATATAAACTTGTTATATTAACTAGGCTATATAGGAGCAGGACGATGGATACTCTAGGGGAAATTATGCTCACAGTAGGTCTCTGTAATCGCTGTCGCGTGTGTACTCGTGATATGCAAGACTCGAATCTATATTCTCGTATAAAGGAAACTTGGTTACACTAAATGAACGGAGGTTGTGACCTCATTATATCTTGCTCCAGACTTACTGTGTTGTTCACAGCCTAGTGCTAGAACATTCCCTTGTGATAGCATTTCTCTCCTTCGAGAAATGATCAGCTCGTTCTCATTCAGTCCATCAGTCTCTCGCTGATTCCGTTATCTCTATTCTATCGAGTTCTAGTTTGGTCCATAATACCCACACATGCATTACACACTAAACACCGGAGGACGAAGGCTGAATACCTGTCAGTGGTGTCCCCTACGAACCTGGGAGTGAAATATTCTCCCAGAGCCGAGATTCAGTCACGACAAAGGGTGGGATGAATTTTTTTGGACTTTCGACTTGAAAGAGTTGCACTCGATATTTTGGTCGAAAAATCAGTCGGCAGAGATTTCGCAGCCGGAACAAAGTCGAACAAAATCTCATCACCACCAACATACGATTCACGAATGGGCCTAGGTCTGTCTGGGAGTCGTATTCAAACATCCGACATCTCTCAAACTTCTTAAATATTTGCGACAATCCATACCTCAGCCGATCTCACACCTGCGACCCACCTCTATACTCGTCACGTCACCTATCTACACACGCCTTAATG